AGCCACGGGAGCCCTGGTACTCACTGGCTGGGCCAGCCAAGGAGCGGGGGCCAACACCAGGGCTGCGGCTGCGTGGGCGCTACCAGGAGATCCAGGTGCTGCCCATCGTTCGCTACAAGGAATTTGCTGAGTACATCACCTTCCATTACCGAGAGCTGTGCGCCCGCCTGGAGCCCGCCATTCCTGTGCGCCATAAGGAAGAGCTAGCCAGTGCCCTTGTGCACGTCCTGCAAAGCACCGGCAAGGCCAAGGTGGGGCTCCAACTCACAGGGAAGCCCAGCTCCACTCCACTCCACAGGCCCCAGAAGCCCTAGCATATCAGGCTTGGGGACACCCTGGTGGGGGAGGGAGGGGGACTGGGGGGGGTCCCATGTGGCCATGTGCCTGCCTGTGATGAGGGGGTCAGTGCAGGGAAGGGGCGACACCCCCACGTGTGCTGGGGCAGAGATGGGCACCTTAGGTTCAGGGGTTGCCTGGGGGGCAGGGGTTGCCTGGGGGGCAGGGGGCCCTGGCATGGCACCCACAAAGGCTGCCATACCAGGTCAGACCCTGCATGTCTGGTCCATAGTACAGGACTGCAGCACAGACCACTCACCTCTGCCATGGAAGACTCGGGGGCACAGTTTGGGGTCAGGGGCCCCATTGCCCAGTCGTGACCCTCCCATTGGTGACAGGAGTTCCTGATCGACCTGGGTGTGGCAGAGCTGGACCGCTTCGATGACCGGGAGGCACTGATCTTCCGTGAGAACACGCTGGCCACCAAGGCCATTGACGAGTACATGAAGCTGGTGGGGGCACGGTACCTGCTGGACATGCTGGGTACGGACTGGGGGGGACCTGGGGAGGGGAGGGGCCTGTTGGACCCTTCAGGCTGCAAGCCTATGCTAACCATGCACCACCCACGGTGATGGGGGCATCTGACCCCTGTCCTGAGCCATCCCCTCTCCTTCAGCTCACAGGCACAGCTGGTGTGGTAGGGTCCTGGCAACAGGGATCAGGGGTAAACTGCTGCACCTCCATGCCTCTGCACATACCTACATACATAGACACTTATACACTCCTGCATATGCCTACATGCATATACACATGCATGCACACCTGCTTACCTGCATCTGCACATACCTATATGCACCCACACTTACACACTACTAAACATGCAGGCATACATACGCTTCTGGGCACACCTACATGTATATGTGCTGCACCTGTGTTCTGCTCCCTCCACCCCACTGGCCCCATGTCATGTTGTCTGTGCATGTTGCAGGTGAGGCTGTGGCCCAGCTGTACCAGTCAGAGGACTGCTGCGAGGTGGACCCCAGCAAATGTGCGCCCCAGGACCTGTCTGACAACCAGAACAACCTGCGCCAGGCCTGCGAGGAGGTCTTCCAAAGGATCACCGCCTCCTGCGAGTATGGGTTGGGTGCAGAGCAGGGCACATGGGGCTGGGCTGGCATGGCCATCACTTGGTTATTGGCATGAGAAGCTGCTCTGCCCAGCCATTGGGTCTGCCAGGCATTCCAGCCCTTAGCCTCCTGGCACCTCCAGCTATGCCAGGCTCTGCTCCCACCCTGGAAAATTGGAGGTTACCCTGGCTGCAGGTTGGGTGCTGTTGGGTGCCAGACAGTGCCGCATGGCGTGGGCAGCCCCTGCTCCAACCTCACTGCAGTGGGGGCTCCCTCAGTCCAACATCAGGAAGGACTGGGGTTCCACTGAGCCTCCCCAGTGCCCCTCAAACCCAGACTCCTGGCAGAGGAGCCTGGGGGAGACACAGGGCAGCATCCCACCCTAGCTCTGGCTCTTTTTCTGGCCCATGGCCCCATATGTGGGGCTGGTATTTGGCTCAGCTCCTACCTGCTCACCATTGCCTCCCTTCCCCCAGCGCCTTCCCAGCAGAACTCAACGAGATCTTTGCAGCCTGGCAGGAGGAGTGCCAGGAGCGAGCCAAGGATGGCATTGGGCAGCGGCTTATCTCAGCTTCGCTCTTCCTGCGCTTCCTGTGCCCTGCCATCATGTCGCCCAGCCTCTTTGGCCTTATCCAGGAGTACCCAAGTGACACCACTGCCCGCACCCTCACCTTGGTGGCCAAGGTCATCCAGAACCTGGCCAACTTCACCACGTAGGTACCATGCACCTTGGGGTAGGAGGAAGGGGCTAATAATGCACCTTGCATTCAGGGGATTGGGAAGCAGATCCCTCCCAGACCACACACCCTCTGTGGGGAAAGTTCCACTTCGTCCCACGTGCCTGGCTGTGCTCAGTACGCTGTGCTGTCTGTGGGGCAGCCCTGTACTCACCATACAGGGGTAGGAGGGGGGACTTGGATCATCTCAGGTCTTGCTCACAGACTGGCAGACCCAGGCACCTGTTCTTGCACCAAGGAGACCCTGCCTGCTCCCCCCTGCACCCCCGCATGCTTCCAGGGCCAGGGGCAAGGCTGATCTTGCCTCTCATGGCACATGGAAAGCCTGACTGGGGCCTTCCAGCTGTGGCCTGGTGCTAGGAGATGGAGCTGCAGGGCCAGGAGTGGCATAAACACCCCAATGACCCTGAGAGGCCATGGGGTTGGGATGCCAAACCCATGATTCTGACCCCCTCTTACCCCTGTTTCACACCCATATTGTGATGCCAGGATCCTAAGCCCTCCCAGGTCTCCAGACCATACCACCAACCTTTAGGCTTGTCTCATCCTGCAGCTCCTGGCAGGGCAGGGCCTTGTAAGGTCCCCCTGGGTGCCAGGCTGAAGCCCAGAGCACTGCCCCCCCTTCCTCTGCCCACAGCATCCTTGCCACTCTTCTGAGTCCTGCTCAACGCCAGGCAGGCACAGCCCATCCAGTGAGCTCTTACCCTGCTCTTAATGCCTGATTTTCCCTGCGTCTTGCCCAGACTCCAAGCCTGGCAGCTGGGAAGAGGGGTTGGCTATGGCAGTACCATGTGACCTGAGGAGCTCAGGCCAGGGCACCTAGCCCCATGCCTCTCTGGAAGCAGCACAGCATCGAGGCCATAGGTGCCATATCCCAAAATATCCTAGGACAGTAGCCGTGCCAGGATCCCCCTTTCCTAGAGAGGGGCTTTTGGGGCATGTCACATATGGCCTGGGCAACCTCGGAGACCCAGCCCCTGAGTGCTGGAGTGGCTGCGTGTGATGCCAATATCACAGTGCCACATGCATGACATAAATGGCCACATTGTTGGTGTGACCTCAGCATGGCTGTGCTGTGTGCATGACACTAGCATGGCCACAAGTACAATGTCAGCATGACTGGGTGCATGATGGCAACCGGTGGCTCCCACAGGTTTGGGGAGAAGGAGGCCTACATGGGCTTCATGAATGAGTTCCTGGAGCAGAGCTGGAGCAGCATGACATCCTTCCTGCAGAGCGTGGCCAACCCCGACAGCAGCGCCCACCTGGACACATATGATGGCTACGTGGACCTGGCACTGGAGCTTGCCACCCTCCACCTGCTGCTCTGCGACATATTCTCCAGCCTGGACCAGGTACTGCAGCTCTCCCTCCCCCTCCTCTCCCTGCCCCTGCCCTTGAGGAGTGCTTGGGAGAGCAGCGCCTGCCCCCTGGTGGTCAGACACAGGAGCACACAGCATCTCACTGCCGGCAGCCACTGCTGCAGTACCAAAGCCAAGATGCGCTGGAACCCCTCAGGAGGCCCCCACCCAGTCAGTCCAGGGATGCACATGCTGGTCTGAGCTGGAAGCTGCCCTCCTGGTTCTGCCAGTCCAAACAGTGCCCTGGGAGATGCTTCTCAGGAAGGCTGCCAGCACCCAGGTGGGGGTTCGAAATTGCTGCCCACAGCTGTTTGTAAACTTCTTTTCCCTTGGTCCCCACAGCGGACACAAAAGCAGCTGGAGCCACTGCCCACCATCCTTGATGCCATCCAGAAGGGCACACCTGTGCCTGTCTCCATCCACCTTAATCCCAGCAGGTAAAGTACCTCCTGGGCTGGGTTGCAGAGCCCCTGACATGGGGGTGGGAACTGGGATTGCTAGGGCAGGAGTTGTCAGAAAGGCAAGGCTGGGGCAGAGGGGTGAGGGACTCTCTCCTGGATCCTGCAGAGACTTGCCAAAAGGTGTTGCAACACTCCTGGGAGGGCCCTCATGCGTTCCCCACCACCCATCCTGCATGACTGCTCTCCCACATCTGGCTGAGCAGGGCAGGGGGGCTGGGCCGGGTGCCTGGGGATGGGGAGTCAAGTGCTTCCCTGGCATTATGGCTCCAGTGCACCGTAGTTAAAGGCAGTCTAGATGTGAGGTCTGGGGGCCTGGCTGGCCTCTTGGTCCCACTTCCTTTGGGGTCAGGGTCTGGGAGATTGCTTGCTCTGCTTGGCTTTGGCTGTGATGGCTCTGGGTCCTTTGGGCCAGGGGTGGTTCCAGTCTGACTTGGGTCTAGGGGCTGGTTCTGCTCTTGGTTCTGGTCCTGTTGGGCTCCTACCCTGGCCCAATCCCCTCCTTTTCTCCCTGTGCTACAGACCAGCAGCTGAAAAGCCGGGGTTTGTGCCACCACGGGAGCTGAGCAAGCACAGCCCCCTGATCAAGAGCCCGTCACTGAGTAGCATCCAGAAGGGGAGGGGCCAGGAGGAAGAGGCAACAGTGCTCTTGCGGCCACCCCGTGACCGCCGCCACGTGCAGCGCACCCAGAGTGTGCCAGCCCAGTCCAAGGCAACACGGCGCCCACACAAGCAGAGCAGTCTGGAGCATGTAGCTGAGTCCGTGAAGGAGGAGAGCCGCAAGGGCAGCCCATGCCACGGCCCCCAGGACAACCGGAGCCACTCAGTAAGCATGTTGGGGGCACGTGGGCAGGGATCAGGGCTGCAGCCCCCTCCCCTCTGCCTGAGACTGCCTCCCTCTGCGTGTGGGGGGCTCCTGCACCCCCCTGGGGCCCTACATGCTTTGCCCCCCATGCTAACCCCTGCCCTGTGTTACAGGGCCGATCGAAGTTGCGCCAGTCGGCCTCCCTGCCCCGCAAGTCCACAGTGCCCTGGCAACGCTACTCTGGGGAGGCGGCCAAGGCGCAGACTGAGTTGTACACCATGCGGCCACTGGAGAAGGTAACAGGGCTTTCAGCCAAGGACCCTTTCCCCCTGCCTGCTGGGGCACCAGGGCCCCCTTGTTGCCTCCCCTTCTTCTCCCCTCCAGAGCACTCATCATGGACCTAGTGTGTGCAGGCGTGCCAGGTGTCACCTGGCTGGGCAGGAGACCCTTGCTTGGTCTTCACCCCCAGCTCGCCTCCTTCAGTGGTTCAGACATGGGATCCAGGAGCCCTGGGCACCCTCCCCGGCCACTAGACCCCATTCATGTCCAAGAGCTGGAGAAATAACATAGGAGTCCTGGCTCCCAGCCTCTGTTCCTTGAGCTGCCCAACATCATTCTTCTCCCAGGGCTGAGATGGAACCCAGCCGAGATGCCAAATCTCAACTATGGCTCTAGACTCTGGACTGCAGAGCCAAAGATCCAGGGAGGTACTCCTCCCTCTCTATTCAGCATTGGTAAGGCCTCAACTGGAGTAGTGTGCCCAGTTTTGGGCACTGCACTTCAAGAAGGACATGAATAAACTCGAGAAGGTACAAAGAAGGGACACCCGTTTGATTAAGGGCATGGAGTGTAGGCCCTATGAGGAGAGACTCTGGGAACTGGGCCTGTTCAGCCTGGGGAAGAGAAGGCTGAGTTGAGAGGTGATTTGATAACTGCCTACAAGTACCTCGTGGGAGCATCAAGAACTAGGAGAGCAATTATTCAGGAAGGCACCTCAAGGGAGCACAAGGACCAATAGGCATAAACTATTAGAGGGTATAAATTATACCCTCTAATAGTTTATGCTCTAACCCAATTTCAGGTTGGATATAAGGAAAAAAACTTCTCTGTAAGCGTCACCAGAATCTGGAACACACTCCCAGTGGAGGTGATGCAGTCACCCTCCTTGGAGGTGTTCAAGACAAGGGTGGATAGGCAACTTGCTGAGCTCATCCGAGCCCAATAATTCCTGCCCATGGCAGGGCACCAGACTTGATGATTGTACAGGTCCCTTCCAGTTCTATGATTCTATGAAAGTCTGAAATAGAACCCAGGCATCCTGGCTCCCAGCATGCCCCCCACCCAACTGCCCCACGCACATGCGCTGTAACCACTAGATGCCACTCCCCTGCCCTAAAGCTTGCATGACTTTCGATGGGAGCTGTGGGGGGGTGACCCCATTGGGTTGACATGTCCCTGCCCCCCCAGCATGGGAAGCAGATTGAGGAGCTGCAGAAGGAGCTCGCAGAGGCCCGGGAGACACTGGGGCGGTTCGAGAGCCAGATGGCCGTGCTGGCCGCCCAGAATGAGGTGCTGAGGGAGGAGCAGGCCGAACTGAGGATGCAGGAGGAGCAGCTCCGCAACCAGCTGGAAGAGGCAGCCGCCCACCTGGCCAGTCTCAGCGCCAGGTAGGGGCCCGTGGGGCAGCACTGGCCCATCAGAGGAGGTGCAGTGGGGCTGTGTAGGGTATAAGGGGCTGTGGGAGCCTCCATGACTGGAGGGCTATGCTGAGTAGCTGGTTGGCATGGGGATGGCAGAGACCCTAGCTCCTGCCCAGCCCAGTACCCTGGGCTCTTCAGGGGAGGGTGGTGGAGGGGTGGAGTTGAGCTTGCCCTGGTGCCCATCCTGAAACCACTTCCCACAATTGCAGCCAGTGGCTATCTCCATTTGGGGCAGGAACTGCCCTTATGCCCTTTGATACCATTTGTCTGTGCTGTGGGCATTCCAATGGCCTATGGACCCTCCTGACCCCCTCTCCAGTCTCCCTGAGTATCCTGTGGCTGGGAACTCTGCACCCAGAACCTCACAGCTGTGTTCATCTGGGTTTCTGTTGCATCAGCTCTGTGGGGATGAGGCATCTGCTCCATGGCTGAAGGTAGAGGGGGAGGGACAATGCCTGGGGTCTGTAATGGCTCTGCAGCTGGCACCCCTGAGGCTGGGTGCCCTTGCTAGCTCATCACCTCTCTTCACCCCCAGAATGGGGTCAGGTAGCTACAGGACACACACCACACACAAACACACACTCTCATGGGCAACTGTTCCCTGGCATCCTGCTCTCCGTTCCCTGGTAGAGTTGGCTGAGGCAGAGGGCAGGGGCCAAGCCCCAGGACTAGATGCAGGCAGCCCCCAGGAGCAGGAAATAGCTCCCACATGATGTGGTCTCTCCCACAGGGTGACATCAGCAGAAGGCTCCCGCAAGAAGGACCTGGAGAAGCTGAAGGCGAGTGAGGAGAAGACAAAGGGCCTGGTAAGGGTCAGGGAGACCACGCAAGGCTGCCTTCTCATGGATGAAGGGGAGGAGGTGCTGGGAGCTGCCCTGCTCAGGGTATTGTGGGATGCATGGTTCTGGCTCAGGTGTGGGCAGCCTGGGAGCAGGGAACCCAAGCACCCAGCATATGTCAGCACTGCCTGCCTCAGGGGTGGAGCCCCATGCTGCCCTTGGGGCTCTGCCCAGAGCAGGGATGGAGTGCGGTGGGTTCTGCCCTCCTTCCCCTCTTACAGCAAGAAGGATAAGTCTGTTCTCTTTACACAGAGGATCCTGCTCTGGGGAGTGGACCCTGGCATGGGGGAGGTGTGGGGGGGGAAGGGCTTCAAGCCTAGGGGCAGAACCCAGGAGTCCTGGCTCCCAGTCCTCTGGTCTAAGCACTAGACCTCACTTCTTTCCCAAAACTGGGGAATGAGCCTGGGTGTCCTAGCATCACAACTCCTACTCTAACCATTAGACAACACTACCCTACCAGATCCAGGAGAGAACCCAGGAGTCCTGACAGGGGGACAGGAGAGGGCACAAAAGTAGGGCAGAGCCCTGGCAGCTGGAGGAGTCAATTCCTCCACGCTATGTGGTGCCTGCTGGGGGCCTTGCCTGGGACAGGGCAAGGTGGGCAGTGGGCACAGGGTGGGGCTGACGCATCCACTCCCTCCGCAGGAGAGGCGCCTGTCAGCAATGGAACGAAAGCAAGCTGAGCTGTGCAGTGCCCTCCTGGGGCATGCACTCAAGCAGCCCCATGTCCTGCTTCAGCCGGGGCCCTGTGGTGAGACCCAGAATGGTGATGAGGCTCATGTGACCAGCGTCTAGAGGCCTGGGCCCAAAGCCACCCATGGGCTAGGCCTACCAGCACTACGACCTGCCCTAAGGCCCTACATGGCCTCCACCCCTGGCCTGATGCCAGCTTCAGCCTAGATCTGCCTGGCTGCTCTGGGGATAGGAACACCGTGAGCTGCGAGCTGCTGGCTGATCCCCTGTGCTTGCTCCTGGCTCCCCCAGGCTGGACCCATTTATCTGAGCCACAAAGGTCATGGCCCCCAACCTCTGCCTGCTGGTTCCCCCTTCTCATCGTTCCTACCCCCCAATGCCCTGATCCTATGATGCCAGTGCCACCAGCAGCGTGACATGGCACAGCTGTGCCCCTCCCCCCCAAGCCTGCAGCAGCCCCTCAGGCCACTGGACCCGGCCTCATCACCCAGTACTGAGCAGCTGAACTGCCCAGCCTGGCCTGGCTTGGTCTGGGCCTGTGCATGTGTTCCTGGGAGACTCTGGGGTTCTGGAATCGCATCCCCTGTTCCAGGTGGGGCTGCCTCAGCGCACAGCCCCAGTGGCACCACGTCCAAGCCTGGAGGGTACCCTGTGACCCGGCAGTAAATGTTGCTGGTGGCTTTGTACTGAATGTGTAAGTCGGTTCCTGGCACACCCATCATGAGCCTGGGGTTGGGGTGAGGCACAGCCTGTGGGCAGAGAAGGAAGGAGGGTGGGCATCAAGTCTTGGAGCACCTGCCAACCACTCCTGTGAGGCCCACAGAGACCCCCATGTCCCCACACTTGGTGGGAAACTCCAGGACCCAGCAGCAGAGTGGGGAATGGGACCCATGCCTTCAAACCCTAGAGCAAGGCCCTCAACAGCCATCAGCATCCTGGCCTGCCCTGGCACCCAGCTGAGCTGCGCAGACTCTCTGAGGGCTCAACATGAGGGCTGCAAGGGAGATAGGTCCTGTGGGAGCCACAAGCTTGGAGTGGGAGGTTGGGCTGGTACAGGGTGCAGGAGCCTTGTAGTGATGGAGTGGTAGGGGATGGAGTCCAGTGAGTCCCTGTATGGCTGAGCCTGCCACCAGCTCCTGTTCATTTTAGTGAGCAGTACAGCAAAGCCTGACCTCAGGGCACAGCCCAGCCCAGCCCAGGCCCACCCCAGAGTGGGCTGCCCAGGAGAGCAGCCCCACTGCCAGCTGCAACCCAAGACAGCTGGAATTGGGGGCGGGGAGCACCTGGAGCAGCCGCAGCAGCAGGACAGCATTCCTCAGGTCAGGTGTGCCTTCAGACCCGCAGCCCATCTGAGGACTGTCACTCCGGTGTGGTGCCCTCCCCCAATTTTAGTCCAGTCCCCGGCTCCTGCTTCCCATGCCCCAGTCATTTGAAATAAAACTGCTCGGTAACCTGCCAACTACAGTGGGAGCCACAGTCCTAGGACCCTGCCCCTGGAATACTGAGGGCGGGAATGGGACTGCAATGCCAGAGTCCCCTGCTGACCTCCACCCAAGGGGCAGTTCCAGTGCCGCAGCTCTGGCCCAGTGACCCAGCGAGGAGTATCTCAGAATGCCTTGCAAGATAAGGTACCCCCATCAGGACCCAGAGACAAGCATGCAGGCACTCAGCTTCGGTGGCTGTGGTTCAGGCAGTACATCTCCCTCCTGTTCCCAGCCCAGCATGAATGCACAAGCCCACAAACGGGCTCCCACCCACACAGCCAGCCTGGTGAGAAGCCAAGCATGTCCCAGGTCCCCTGGGTTTCACACCAGCCAGTGTTGTGGAGTAACTTACCCAGGGTTTTACTCTGTGGGAAGGAGCAGACACACCAGCCACCCCCAGCCGGCTGTTTGCCGTGGGAGTCTTGACAGCACTCGGCCACTAGATGGAGCAGCCCGCTGCTCCAGGGTGAAACGCCCTGGGAGGGAGCCGCTGGACCCCCCGGATCAACCTGCTCCCTGCCAGGCGCTATCTGGAGGCCGAGCAGACCACAGATGCACCATTATAGATAGGGTGGTGGGTCCAGCCAAGGGACCCACTCTGAGCACCCAGCGCTGACTCAGGATGCTACGCAGGGTGGGACTGCCCATGGTGCTCAGACAGGGTCAGCAGAGTCAGCCGTGGGACAAAGGACAAAGAAAGGTGGGACAAAGGGGAAGGAGGCCTCAGCTCCCAGGGCAGAGCATCTTGGAAGGTGGAGGGGCCATGGCAGTGCCTCTCCTCTGTTCCAGGTTGCTGAGCTCCAGCACTGGCATTAAGGTTGTTAGGGTAAGGCAGGGACCAGCCGTGCACCCTGGCTACAACCACCTGCCAGTGGGTCTCAAACTTGTTAGGCTCCAGGCTACCCCTTGTTAGGCTCCAGACCCCCACAGAAAAGGTTAGCTCTTAGCTTTCACTTTTTTATTGGCTACAGAGAAACACTCAAGCAACTCCTCCATGGCAGGGATCCCACAGGTCAGAAGGCTGGTGACACTGTGGATTCCTGTTTGCAAGCTCTGGCTTGATCTCTTGGATCACCAGTAGGTGTTTGCACACTCACTGTGCTAAATTGCTTGACACCCTGCAGCACCCTTAAAAGAATCCTGCTTTGGGGAGCAGGGAAAGCAGCTGAACCCTGGCTCTGGGAGAGGCAGAAACTATAGGGGGGAGATAAGTCTTCAGGCCAAGGAATAGAACCCAGGAGTCCTGGCTCCCAGCCTAACCAGGAGACCTGCTGTAGCACCAGGGTGAGAATTCGGGTTGGAATAAGCTTTCAAAGCCATCAGCATTGCAGGAGCTGCCACATGTTACCTCATGTCCCTGCTGCCCTGAGCCACAGGAATGCAGGATGGCTCAGCAGCTGCAGAGAGGCACCTTGGGCAGCTGCAGGTTCTGAAGAGTCCAGAAGTGCAAATGGCAAGACTGGTGCCCACCATGTCCTGATCTCCAGGCTGTGCCTCAACCAAAGCATGGGCTCTGGGGACATGCTAGGCCAGGTCCCTTATGCACAGCATTGCCCCTGCAATGGCAAGTGCACTTCCTGCCTTGCCTAAGGTGCAAGGCAGAAGGCATGATTGTGGGATCACACATCAGATCCCATCATGCCTTATTGCCAGTTCAGGGGGAGCCGGATCCTGAACTCCCCCTGTACTAGCAAGAAGCAAGCTCCCACAGCTGGGACCCCCTCCCCAAAGCCAACCCAGGCCCCCAGCCACTGGGATACCCCAGGGGTCCCTATGACAGGGAGACTGCAGCTGCCGCAGTGTCCTAGACACAGGGGTGCTTCATGTCCCTCCACGGCTGTGAGACCACAACTGATACAGTGTTCCGGGGGGGATGGCATGAAGCTCCCCTGCACCTCAGACACTGCGTCAACTGTAGTCCCCCAGCTGTGGGGGCACGTGCTTCTGTAGCTGGAAGCCAGCATCAGCTGAGATCTCCCATGCTCTGGGGTACACATAGGCTCTTCCCAGCTGGGAGCTCCAATCAGATGATGTGGCTCCCAGCCCACATATCCATTTAATGGCATGACAGAAAGCAGATACAAAGTTAGTACACCTAGTTTGTGGAGTAACTCTAACTTACTCCTCTTTCTATCACATCATCCATTGCATGAATGTGCAGCTGGGTGACCATGTCCATGTAATGTATAGATGAGGCCTCAGTGACAGAGCAGGTGCCCAGGGGAGCAGGGCAGAGGGGGACATCTACGCTGTGGCTGCAAGGGGGCCTCAGCCTTTAGGGAAGACAGCAACAGCAACAGCAGGCTGCCTGGTGCCTGAGCAGCGCACAGAACCCAGGCATCCTCAAGGACCATCCCCACCCCCAAATCACTCCCCTTCTGGACCCAGAGAACCCAGAAGTCCTGGGGGGGGCTACCTGTTTGCTAATCATCAGCATTCACTTGACCCATTCCCCTGACATCCAAACACTCATAGCACATTTATGCTCCCAGTGAATTTCACAGAGGGGAGCAGGGCACAGAAACCCCAGAGGTTCAGGGCTGGGTCAGAGAAGGACTTGGGCATCACAGCCTTAGAGCCTCACAGTCAGAGGAACACAAGGCGGTGCATTAGCTACTCCAGATCAGGACTCCGAGCAGCTGGACCCAAGCTCTGCCAGGGTCCCTAGCTCCAGGTAGGTACCTCGCATTGAGCCCTCCCACAGACCTGGACACCAAAGCCAGCCATGCAGGGGGAAGCCCCCTCCCATGGGATGGCTGCTGGGGCACCCAGTTGAGCCTACCATAGCCACTCCACTCACCTCTTAAGGAGCCCAGAGAACCCCAGTCTTTCTGGCTCCAGGGACTGTGTGGAGATCTGAGAGGATGTGGAACAAAGCCTGGAGTTACACCCAGCCCTCTCCTGTCCTGACCCCTCCCCTGCACCACAAGCCCAGTCAGCTGCTGTATAACCCCCAGGGAAGAGGCATGGGGCAGAAAGTTCCCCACTGGTGACTGTCCAGAGCAGGTTCTCCTGGGGCTGGAGGGAGCTCTGTGCTGGGGTCCCCCAGCTCAGCTCTGGGGTAGAAGCATCAAGGAGCCAGGGGGATGCGGGGGGGGGGTGCAGTACCCTGCAGGCAGCTCCCTGGTCCCCCAGCTCAGTGCTGGGCCACTCAAGGACCCCCATGAGGGACCCCAGACTCAGCCACAGCTGAGCCCTCTGAGATGCAGGGGGATGGGGCCCTGATGGTGCAAGAGGGTGCACCTGGTGGGGCATGAACAGGGACCTGGGGGAAACACGGTAGCTCCATTCTGTTACAATCAGGATATCTCTGGTGGCTTCTGTTTTAGCTGGAGAAGTACAAGAAAAGCCAAAGCAAGTTCCTTCGAACAATATGCCTGTTTATTGGGATATGATTGCTCAGGCAATACTCACTACTGGATGGCAAGGTCTCAGGCCCCTCAGAATCCATCTTCTTGGTTGAGGCATGTTCCGGATTCATACCCCTCTGCCTGTGTGTGGAGGAGCTTGAGACAGTTCAGGTTCAAATAGCTGTATTCCCACCCCTTCCTCTGAGACAACAATCTCTTGGCCAATGGAGTAGGGAAACTGAGTCATAATCTATGACCACTTTTATTTCTTAGGGTCACCTTCTTAGCACTGGGTGTTATCACTGGCCTAGTGGTAGTGTAGGGGAAATGTAGCCATGATGGTCCAGAAATGATACATCAGACACAGATTTCTTAGGGTGATCTCTTATATTGGATCAACTATGCACTTGGCATAAAGTCAGACAAGCTTTCGAATGCAGGATGTTCTTCCTCAGGTCTCTCAATGCTAGACTTTCTTCCTCAGGTGAGACCCAAGAAGGTTTATCTAACTTTATCATTGGCCTGTGCATCTCAGCTCCCTTGAAATGGTCTTTCACTGTCCACTTCTCTCACACCCCAATCCTTGTAATTCAGACTGAACCACAGCAGGGGCTGTGTGGGGAGCCTGCTGCATCTCTGGGGTACCAGACCCTGCCTCATCTTCTTGGGGTGGCTTGTCCTCTGGGAGCCCCAGATGCAGATCCCCAACGCTCACTGCTCACCAACACTTCCCAGGGGCAGTCTGGGCTGAGATGGCCTCCCATCTCTATATCCTTTGTAGCATGTCCAAGATGGTCCCAGCTCTCCCCAGTGGGACTGAAGCCTGGCTGCTCCCAGTAGAGATGGGAGCAGGTAAATACAGAGGTCAGGGAGATGGGAAATGGGATGGAA